GGTCTGTGGCTAATTTTCTGTCTTATATCAAGATTACTGGGGAAAAGTTACAAGGTAACACTTAATACTCATACCTATTGGAACTGAAAGTGCCATTCTAACTTTTTTAATGAAATCTGACACAAACCAAATATGTTTAGATCTGTTTTTTTCAAACTTGGCAACTTTTTAAGAGGTGTGGACGTCAATTCCCAGAATTCAACAACTAGCATGGGAATTCTGGGAGCTGAAGTCCACACAACTTAAACTAGTCAAGTTTGAGAAACATTGCTTTAGATTTTCTTATTTTTCCATTTATATGTGTACTTCAATAGAACATACGAACTAATTAAAACAGAAAAGAGACATGTCTTTTTAGCTTGAGCACTGCCCTTCAAAATTTCTTCCATAATACCAAGTCTTAAGTCTTTATATTCTTTCCAATGCACCAAAATGTTGAAAAGAAATTATGTAAAGAGATCCAGGGACTCTGCCATCTGAATCTGAAAACTGAATAGTTTAGAACCATTTTTTCCATGACGGAGAAGTGGCTGAAGAAAAACTGAATATGAATCAGATCAGGCCAGGGACTATGGAAAATAAAATCCAGGGGTGGGGGGGAACCCATCAATATCTGCTCCATTCTAAGACCCCTTCTCATTCTAACTCAGTTCCTTAATTCTTATATTGCTGTCATTTGGAAGTCTCCAATTCAGTTACTGACATGCTGATTTTCACACTGCACAAGGTGTTCTGGAAAAAGAGAATATTCTGTAAACCAGTGTAACACAACTTGTTTCATAAAGATCAATGGCAAAGATTGGCCACCCCAACTATGCCCTTGAAGTGATGTCCCAGTGCCTGGAGGCCATGCGGGCCTGGATGGGGAGAAACAGGCTCCGACTCAACCCTTCCAAGACCGAGTGGCTGTGGCTTCCGGCGTCCCGATATAGCCAGCTGGCGCCATCGCTGGTTATTGGGGGTGAGTCATTGGCCCCCACGGAGAGGGCTCGCAACTTGGGCATCCTCCTGGACGCACAGCTGTCTTTAGAAGAGCATATGACAGCCGTGGCCAGGGGGGCTTTTTATCAGGTTCGCCTGATACGCCAGTTGCGTCCCTTTCTGGATCGGGACTACCTACGCACGGTCACTCAAGCACTTGTCACTTCCCGCCTGGACTACTGCAATGCTCTCTACATGGGGCTCCCCTTGGGGTGCACCCGGAGGCTCCAACTGGTCCAGAATGTGGCTGCGTGGGGGATTATGAGAGCGACGGGGGCTCCCATGTGACACCTCTTCTGCACGAGCTGCACTGGCTCCCAGTCGTCTTCCGGGTGCGCTACAAGGTGTTGGTGACCACCTTTAAAGTGCTCCATGGCTTAGGGCCTGGATATTTATGAGACCGCCTTCTGCCACCAATTGCCTCCCACCAGCCAGTGCGCTCGCACAGAGAGGACCTCCTCAGGGTGCCATCGGCCAGACAATGTCGGCTGGCGACCCCCAGGGGGAGAGCCTTCCCTGTGGCGGCACCCGCCCTCTGGAACGACCTGCCCCCAGAGATACGCACGATACTGGACCTCCGGACTTTTCGTCGGGCCCTTAAAACCCACTTATTTCATCTAGCCCGGCTGGCTTGATCCTATCCTTTGGTTTTAATTTGAAATTAATTTTAACTGGGTTACTTTAAATTGTGGCCGATGTTATTTAATATCTTTTAAACTGTTTTAATTTTTGTATGTTGTGTTTTTACTTTTGGCTGTCCACCGCCCTGAGTCCTGCTGGAGAAGGGCGGTATAAAAATCAAATAAATAATAATAAATAATAAAAAGATTATTTAAAAGGTGTGTTTTCCTTCTTTGACAGATGTGGGCTAATGCTGACCTTGGCCACTAACCTCCTGCTATGGTTTTTAGCAGTGGCCAATGATACAGTTCACAGACAAATTGAATCAGAATTGAACCAGTCTCTGCAAAGATATGAAGGCAAGGGTCATTTTCTGTTTTAAATTAATTCCAATGAATTTGACATTTTCTTCCCATAAGTATCCTAGAGCAAAGAATTCCATCCCACATATTTCAATAACTGTTTTTATATTTTGGGTTGGTTTTCGCATAAGGGGTTGTTTCAATGGTTGATAAATCCTGGTCTTTTCCTGAGTGATGCGTATATCTAGCCACACAAAGATTAAGCAGGCTAACCTTGGTGTGGCTAATCCTCCCTCCTTCCCTCCCTCTCTCTCTCTCTCTCTCTGAGGGAGGATTAGCCACACCAAGGTTAGCTTGCTTAATCTTTGTGTGGCTAGATCAGGGGTCTGCAACCTTAAACACTCAAAAGAGCCATTTGGATCCATTTCCCACAGAAAAGAAAACACCGGGAGCCACAAAACCCTTCCCGTGCCCGACTATTTCTTGAGCGGCCACAAAACTAGCATATGTAGTTGAATTAAGTGTTCTGTTTTCTTCTGAAACTTTTCTTTTTTTGGATTTATCCATGGTTGGCCTACCGGGGGTTGAAAAGCTCAATAAATCACATGCCGGCGGGTGTCGCACATTGGCGGTTGTGATGCATATTTTGAGTGACGGAGCCACAACAGAGGGGTGAAAAAGCCACATGCAGCTCCAGAGCCGCAGGTTGCTGACCCCTGGGCTAGATACATCTTTCACCTTGCTGATTTGGTCCCTCTCCCCTCTCTCTCTCTCAGGGAGGGAGGGAGGGAGAGACGGAAAGGGAGAGAGGGACCAAATCAACAAGGTGAAAGATGAAGAATTGAGATACAAGTTCCACCTCTTTTGAACGTGTGTCCATAACAAATCCAGCCATTAGTACGTAGAAAAAAAATAATCTAAAGCTTCCCAATACTGATTCAAATTGGTAGCATGATAAATCAATGCATTACCTGGTGTATGGTGGACCTTCATGTTTAGCATTCACTACTCAACAGAGAAAAGACAATATTCACGTACTGATTGAAACAAAATTCATAATCATTGCCAAGGATACGTTCTGTCTTCTATGATAGTAGCACCAAAGTCTGAGAAAATTCCTTATTCAGCCTAGAGGTTAACATATTATAACTTCATGCATTTTGTTCCAAGTAAATCTTGTGATCTGGAAATCTCATAGCTACCTTCTGCATAATCCTTCATTTTCCCTATTTTGCTCAGGTAATTTGACGTACTCCTGCAAGGACTCAAATGCGACCATCTGCATGATCTTCCAAAAGGGATATATTTTGTTATATCCCTTCAATACAGAATATTGTTTGATCTGTTGCTCCATGCTGTATATCATGTGGAAGAACGTGGGCCGGCGCATAACTCAGAGCCATACCTCTGGAATCCAGCCTAGATTCAAACTCCATGGCATCATTTGGGGGCCTTTGCTTGGTATCGCTGCAATAATTATTGGTATTTGCATTTTCATGATCTATCAAATCCAAGTCACTAGTTCTTTCCCTAGTCATATGTCATTCATACTGTATTATTCCTACTACATTTGTTTATTGCCTGTAATGACTGTGGCGGCTTTGGCTGGAACTGTTATCCATGCCTTAGAAGAGAGAGAGTTGGATACTCTGAAAAATCCAACCAGAAGCCTTGATGTCATCCTGCTCATGGGAACAGCCTTAGGCCAAATTGCCATCTCGTATTTTTCCATTGTAGCCATTGTGGCCACCCATCCAATAAGCATGTTGAACAGCATCATTCTAGCCTATTCAATAAGCCTCATCATTCAACACATTTCCCAGAATATCTTCATCATTGAGGGGCTCCATAGGCAACCACTACTGATGAGTGAGGACTCTCAACTTGCTGCACATTCCACCCAAGGGCCTCCCTCTACCCAAGTTCTGCCTAATGAAGATAGGGTTCTATCTCATCTCTATGAAGAACCTGTCTCATCCCCTGCCAATGAGGACACAGGCAAAAATGAGAGAGAGAAATGTGAAGACAGTTCCCCAAACATGGATAACCTAGAGAAAAGACAGGAAAATCAGAGTGCTTCATGGACTTACATCAAGGCCTACAGGCATCTGAACTGGAAAAGAAGAGCTCTGAAGGAGATCTCCAGCTTCCTGATCATGTGCAATATCATTGTAAGTACTAATATAAATGATATAATAATTGAAAGTATAGCCTACTGTATACAAGGTACTAGAAATGACCTACTAAGTTCCTTCCAGATGTTTTGAATGATTATTCTATTGAAATCTCTGACCACAGGCATTGTGACAAACTTTGGTTAAAAATGTAGTCCAAAATATTTGAAGAACTGTATCTTTCTAATCCTGTCATACGTTCAAGCACCATTGTCAACAATGGACAAATATGACTAGACCTTAAAGTGTGGATCAGCATCCACAAACAATTAAAAAAAAAAATCATTCGAGATCAAAATAACCTAGCACAGAAAGACAGTGAAAGATGCAGGATTTCTAACTTTGTCTTCGTAATAGATTTTCTGGGACAAGAAAAATGGCTAAAGACGCAGAAAAAAAACATGAATAGGAAATGCCTGAATCATGGATTAGGCATGGAAATTGCAGAGTGAAAGCAAATGAACAAAAATTTCTTCAGATTTTCTCTTATGTGTAGTACAAAAACCAAGGTTGTGAAGTTTTTCACTCACTGGAAGTGGGGAAACTAGGAAGTAGTACCAAAAATTAAGATAAAATTACCATGTTGTTTTTCTTCAGAGTACCACTTTTTACTGATCCTGCTGTATTTTTATATCTCCTTTCCAGCTGTGGATTATGCCATCATTTGGAGCACATCCAGTGTTTGAGAATGGAATAGAGAAGTCGTTTTATGGCTACTCCACCTGGTTTGTCATTGTCAACTTTGGGCTTCCATTGGGTGTGTTCTACAGAATGCATTCTGTTGGTGATCTTCTGGAGGTGTATCGCTCTGCCTGAAACAAAGCTAAATTTTCTCACATTGCTGTTTTTATTCCGCTACAAATGCAATTATGAAGACGAGTAATAAAATGGGTAAAATTATGAGAATTTCACATTAGAGAGATTTGTGATATCATTTTGAATAATTCTTTAATCAGAAAGAATAAACTGATCTTGTCGGTAAGTAGTCCATTAATCACTGAAGGTTCATTTCTGCATAATAGCTCTTAATAGGATTGATTTCTTCTGTACACATTACTTACAAAACCTAATTACAGTGATGCTGAACAATTATTAACCTTAAGAATACATGGCTAATGTCACGTTTGAAAGAGAGGTAAACTACAGTATGTTAAGCATGGCAATCCCTTGGATAAAATGGTCACTTTTTATTACTGCATCAATCCTTGGATATGGCTGAATCATTGAACAGAGACTGAGAAATGGACCACTTTTAAGTTAAGGACATTTCTATCAATGTCTTTTGAAAAGGCATGAAAACATCCCAGGTGCTGCATCTATTTACATCTACAATCAAAACAAAGATTGTGTCTATTATGCATATGTGACAATACAAGGCCATTCTGGATATGTTTGTGACAATTGGTCTTATATTTCGCATCAGTAGAGGCAATAAAGCACAAAACAGAAAATGTAATATTTAGGAAGACTGAAACATAACTTTGATATCAAGCAGATAATCAGAAAAAAATTCAGTTTGCTGATATACTTTGGAACAATTCAAACTTTATAACTTGGATCTGTTGCAATTTTTTTTATTAAATGATTTAAAAGTGTGGAAAAGAGCAAGGACCTCTCCTTATAAATCAACAAGCAACTTTGTTTAGGATACTGCTGTACACCATGCCAGTAGACCCATCTGGACTTGGATAGTCATGCCCTGCACTGGACAGCCTTACTCAAATGTTCCCCACACCATGATAAAATGATTGCTTCTTCCAAGGCTGCCTTGTTAACCAGGACCATACGAATTTTAAGTTAAGATAGGTCAGACATAGTCCTGCTTTCATTATTTATCTTGCACACCAAATATCTAAATAACAAAAAAAAAAAAAACTGGAACAGGAATAAATATATTAAAGCAGAATAAAATATCAAGTTCAGGATCTGATCAGAACTACTAATGATTGAAAAATGCAGAAGCAGAACAGTGGGGAATTCTGAAAAGCTGATTTAGAATAGTAAGAGTTGGAAGGGACCTTGGAGGTCTTCTAGTCCAACTCCTGCTTGGGGGCAGGAAACCCTACACCACTTCAGACAAATGGTTATCCAACATCTTCTTAAAAACTTCCAGTGTTGGAGCATTCACAACTTCTGGAGGCAAGTTGTTCCACTGATTAATTAAGCTTCCAACCTCTTAAAGATGTTAAGTAGCTAAACTTCTCAGGTTTATTATATGTGCTCTAGTTGCTTCGCCCCGAGTTCAGGTCAGGATACAAAAATACAGACTGTATTGAAAAACCACCTGTAAGTTATTATAGATGTTTGATTATATAAGGGATTAAAACTGATCCAAGCTTTGTGATCTACCTTTTAGTAATAACTAAACCTTTCTCTTTGATAAAAGGGTAACAGGTGGAAGTGTAAACATTTCTTGTTTTATTGCTCTCCTGTAAAATAAATCATTTAAGTATTACTGAGATAGAGTCCAGGGCTTGGTTTTCTCACAACTCTTACTTCAGAAAACCAAGTCAAAATAGGCTGCAAGAAGTTTATTCAGGCTCCATTCAGAAAACTTCTGCTCCAAAGACAAAGTTGGTTCAAACCCCAAAGAACAAATGTTCTTAGTGGTTGGAATTTTGCATTTTGGCTAGTTTTATTCTGTTCTGCGTCAATAAAAGCTACCAGAGGAAATAAGAGTTTAGTAAATTAGCCTTCTTAAAAGGTTGTCCCATTCTTCACAGGTTGAAACCCAAGGTCCTAGCAAAGGAACTTACTGAAAGTTGATGGGTTTTGAGGAAAAAGCAATGAAAAGTTTAAAGCTCTGGCAATAAAGACTGGTGCAGTCTGGAGCAGATGCACGACCCATGGCCCTCAGACCAACTAGTTACCCAGAATCTAAATATATCTTTCAAATTCTGAAAAAAAAGAAGCATCACATTTCTCAGTCACAACAGTTGGCAAATTCATGCTAATTTCTTTAAATTTCATGTTGCTTCGAAGGTACGTTTATTTTGTACATTTTAATTCCACAAAGTCATCTAGAATCTGAGGTACAGTCCACCTATCCCCTTCTTCTCACCAGCAAATGTGCTAGTGTAAAATGTGCCACACCATTGTTCTTTCAGATACTGAACAGTAAAATATCGATCCAAGAGTTCCTCTGCAGCCATGCCTTTAATGGAAAGGTACATGTTGCAGAGAATGCCACAGCATCATAAATCAAACAGTAACACAAATAAGCTAATAAATCTCTTGTGATATAAAGCCAGCTACAGTGTTTAAGATAATTTTATCTCCATACGTAAAGTAAATAGTTTATAGTGCAATTTTGATTCTTCAGGGAACAAAGAGCAGAGATGCCATTCTAAAGAAAGAAAAAGTCAAGGTAAATTCACAAAAAAAAAAAAAAACACCACACATTAATATACAATAAAATATCGGAGCATCACAGAAGTGTGCATACACACATATATGGGAGTGTTTGTGTATACAGGTGAATGACATGGATGAGTGTATACTTACAAGAATCTTTACTCTGTAGTGAGATAGAAATATGGTGCAATTCATCAGAACCTTAAGTGAGCATCGCTAAAGACATTCAAAGGAAAATATAATCTTCATTTCTTTCTATCAGCATGTAATAAGAATTAAATACAGGTTTTTGTTAATGAGGAGGACATGAAATGAAAATGTCAAAGGAAGAAATGTCAAAAAGGAATAACAATGATCTTCTTATTTATCCAGTCTAATCTCCAACTGTACCTACAATTTGCTCACTTTATTGTAATAAAAAAAATTGAAAACTCTTTCTTGAGCAGAAAAAAACAAACTGCATTTAGAATTAATTTTACAAGTTTAAGTTGCACTTTCCTATGCCACAAGGTGACAATATTTGTTTAATGTCAGGTATGAAAAAAGACAAGTTTTTATAAAAAGGGCTATGTCAAAACAGCCTCTCATATTTCAGATTCTCTGGTTAAGGCTCAAATAAAAACTGGCAAGAAGGAGATAACATACTTGCCATCCTTAGTGTTGAGCAAAACACACTTACACTAATATGATGCTACTGGATCCTGCAAGGCCATGCTGAAAATTTATAAGCAGGAAAATTTGTTTTACTTTACATCAATTATAGTTTAATTAACCAACTTAGAATACAAGCCACACTATGTGACTATCTAGAGAATAAAACTCCATTCCAGCAGTCTGACTGCTCATTTCAATACATTTTTTTTAAAAAATCCCACACAATAATTTCTAAATCCCTGAAAATAGCATGTGCCCAAGCCGTTTCCTCATCTCTCAAAATGTCCCACAGTATTTTTTCCAGAAACAATTCTTGCAATAAACACCAACTTTAAAATGTGAAATGTATTTAAGACACATATCGATATTTAAAAGGCGTTCCTACAAGGTTGGAAAAACAAACAAAAACGGAATTTGAATGTTCCATAACAACATCAGGACAAAGGAATTAAGCACATTTTCACAGGGAAGAATGAACAAAACCAAAAAGTTTTTCCTGAAGTAACATAAATAAGTAGACTGTTGGGTCAACAGTCATCTCCTAAAGGAAACTCCTTCTCGTCCCTCGTACAATGCAATAAAACAGTTGGGGCCCTGGGAACAGAGGATTGGAAAGGAAGGGCTGAGAGCCTACATTCTTTGGAAAAGAACCACAAAGCTACTTCTTGCAGTTGAGCTTCTTTCACTGGTCCACTTTCTAATTCTTTACATTCACTGTCTTTCTACGTAAAGGCTGAATCTGACCAGGGAGTGAAAAGATGGTTTCTCTAGCTAGTCAGATTCAAAATTGCACCAAAAAGCATGGGGAAGGTTTGATTAAACTCTTGTTTGGTTTTCAGTATGATTCCTAAAGATGGCCATTCCTTCAACAACTTTCCATCGCACCTTTTCTTGGGGGGGTGGGCAAAGTTAGGAAGGGCTGCAGAGTTTTAAAAGTGGAAGGGAAATGGCTGTGATTGTCCTCTAGAACATGCAGGAGGCAGTGAAATGAAGAAAGAGCTGTGATGAACAAGCGCATAGCAAGATCCTTGTTTCCAGTGTTTCTACTCAACCGGAGGCAAGTTGCGTTCCTCAAACACGCTGAATTTCAAACAGCTTTACATCCGTGTCATACCAGATAGGTGGATCCACGTTCCTAAAGAGAAACAGATATTCATTCCCTTGTACATAACATCAACCTCAAGGTGGAACTAGGAAAAGCAGTATGTTTCCAGCACTTTATTACATGTGCAAACAAGCAAAATCAATAGACCCAGCGATATAGAAAAGGAAGCTATTTAACAGACAGCCATTTCTTTTTTTTTTAATTTTAAAAAGTTTTTTATTTTAAACACATTAAAACAACATTAAAATCAAACATGTACAAACATTTTTTAGGTTATGTGAATTCTTCAAATTCATTTGAAGAATCTATATGTCTTAGCACTAATGTGGTCTTTAAAATGTATAATGTCCATGAGAGTAACCAGGCTAGAAAGCAGGAGACCATGAGTTCTAGTTCCGCCTTAAGCATAAAAGCCAGCTGGATGACTGGGCCAGTCATTCTCTCTCAACGTAACCCACCTCACAGGGTGGTTGTTGTGCGGAAAATGGAGGAAAGTGTGTTGGGATATATTCACTTATTATATTTATTTATTTGGAAAAATAATAAATATTTAGTAGTCCCGCCTGGACTACTGCAATGCTCTCTACATGGGGCTCCCCTTGAGGAGTACCTGGAGGCTCCAGCTGGTCCAGAATGCGGCCACGCAGGCGGTTATGGGAGCGGCATGGCCGCTCATGTGACCCCCCTCCTGCGTGAGCTGCACTGGCTCCCGGTGGTCTTCCGGGTGCGCTTCAAGGTTTTGGTTACCACCTTTAGAGTGCTCCATGGCATCGGACCGGGGTATTTACGAGACCGCCTTCTGCTACCAATAGCCTCTCACTGACCAGTACGCTTCCATAGAGAGGGGCTTCTCAGGGTGCCGTCGGCCAAACAGTGTTGACTGGCGGTCCCCAGGGGGAGAGCCTTCTCTGTGGGGGCACCTACCATCTGGAACGAGCTCCCCCCGGAGATACGGAGGATCCCGGATCTGCGCACGTTTTGTCGTGCTCTCAAAACATTTTTATTTCAGCAGGCTGGCCTGGCCTAACTCTCCCTTTTATATTTTTAAATCGTTTAATTTGTTTTATAAATTGGGTGTTTTAAATTTGTTTTCGGCCAAAATATTTAATAATTTTAATGGACTTTTAATGTTTGTATTATCTGTATTTTATCTTGGCTGTTCACCGCCCTGAGTCCTTCGGGAGTAGAGCAGTATAGAAATTTGATAAATAAATAAATAAATATAAGACAAATCCCCTGGATGAGACAAAGCCTATCTTAATCCAGCATTCTGTTCTCACCCTCTCTTCCTTCCCAGGGCTAAGCAGATCATTATGTAACCGTTCTTGCATGCCTTCTTCAAGTTTATCTCTATATTCCTCTATAACATGAAACTAATACTGTAAATATTATCCTCCTGTTAATCTGAATCTCATTTACACAGGAGTTGATATTTAAATTGGAAGAGAGCAAAGATTTCTAACTAAGAAATCACATCTGATGGTATTCCAATGTTCAGTTTTGTTTTTGAATTTAAATTTTGTGCACTGATTTCAGCAAATACTACAAAGGTGAATTAAAACAAAAACAAAAGATGGCAAAACAACCTAAGATTCAGGCTCAAAGCCAACTGAAATAAATTAGGAACGAGTTACATATTAATTGAAAAGCACACTTCTGCACTTCAGTGTACACCCTCTAATTAAATTCCAGTATGGACTGAGAACTTAGCCCACCCAGACGAGAGAGGAATTAACAAGCATATAATTTCTCTTTCAGTTTAAATGCAGCATTTAAATCCTATATTATAGGGCCTATTGAAAAATGGTTACCCTTTTTTATTTTTACTGTCGAATAATAACTTTAAAACCTTTTCATAGGTAGTTCTCATCTTACAATCATTCTTTTAGTGACCATTTGAAGCTACAACAGCACTGAAGAAAGTGACTTATGGCCATTTTTCACACAACTGTTGCAGCATCTCCCATAATCACATGATCAACATTCAGCTACTTGGCCACTAGCATGTATTCATGATGGTTGCAGTGTCCCAGGATCATGTGATCCCCTTTTGCGGCCTGACAAGCAAAGGCAATGGAGGAAGCCAGATTCACTTAACAACCAGGTTACTAACTTAATAACTGCAATGATTCACTTAACAACAACAGTGGCAAGAAAGGTTGTAAACGGAGGCAACACTCACTGCCTTGCTTAGCAATGGAAACTTTGGGCTTAATTGTGGCCATAAATCAAGGACTATTTTTATTTTTTTTTCAAGTGTTCAGATCCTAATTCATTTCAGCACCAAATGCATCTTACTTGCAGTGAGTAAAGAGAGTTCAGTCACTTTTTACTAAACATCAAACAGTTTATTTAAAAACCGAAATGTCATTCCGTATGCACAATCTGGACACATTAGAATCACAGAGTTTGAAGAAAGAGTAATATATATTGTATATTATATAAATCAGCAGCACAAAATTAATGCAAATTAACTGCAGTGAATTAACTGCATCCTCCCAGCTGATACGGCAAGGGTATTCTGTGATTCTAACCACTGAATTTAAAGACCAAGCTAAACCTCAGGCTAAAACTTCTGACTCGCAGAAAGTTCTCATTCAGCAGGCTAATGATAAGTAAGAGGAAATTGGATAGTAGCCTGCTAACTTACCTCAGATATATAACTCCCCACATGTAAGTGCGGAACCACATAGCGGTACCAGAATTAGCCTGGTATTTCCGGATCAGGATGGGATGAGGGACAGGAAGGAGCCCCACCAATGTGCCATGTTGCAAGAATTTCAGAATCTCAGATTCATCTGTAAGGCCCCTGCAGACAGTGGGAACACATTTATCTATACAATGCACTGCATTCTCTCTCTAATGCAAATTACAGATAATTGGACATACAGGTTTATGGAAATATAGAAAACTGACAGCAGAACAAGACCTAGTGAGCCATTGAATCTGCCCTTTAAGGTTATTTTACTTAATTTTTGATGGACATGTGTTTATCTCAAGCGTATTTAAACTTAGTTACTGTTGTTACTGACCCACTACCTCCACTGGATGTTGGTTCCAAATTTCCAACTACTCCTTCTGTGAAGTGATACCTTCGAAATACTTCTAAACTTCCTACATGCAGATACAAACAAGATATGAAAAAGATGCTAAACTATATGGTTTTCACTTAGAAAAAACAGATGGGATACTCATGGGAACAGTGGATAAATTAATTTAAAAGATCTATAATTTGTTACTAGGCATTGAACTGGAGGAGGAGCAGGTAAAGGAAACAATGATAGCCTGGACAAAGAATTTTGGACATTCAATAGATCTAGATAAATGGCAACAGCTATGGGAAAGGAATTATAAATTAACAATGTCCACTGCATATAAGGAAAATCAATATAAAATGTTTTATAGATGGCATATGCCCCCTGAGAAACTGGCAAAAATGTTTAAAGGTAAGTCAGCTAAATGTTGGAAATGTCACCAGTCTATCCAGAAATAAATCCAGAAATAAAGGAAGCTGTGATTTAGAAGCTACGTTAATCTATAATTTTGAAGACCCTTCCTACAGGTATATGCCTGGCCCTATTCCCTCCCCAATAGGATTTATATGCACTGAAATATGGTTTTAAAATACTAAGAGTAACTAATTGAAAATATTGAGAACCAGAGTAATGTAGTGGTTAAGATGCTGGACTAAGAGCAGGGAGATCCAAGTTCTAGGACTTCATTGGACACAGAACTGGCTGAATGGTTTCAGATCACTCACTCTTTCTAAACCCTAGTCTGGAAAGAATCAGCCACCCATACAGATTATGACCCTCAATCTTCAAAAAGAGGATTTTATCTTACAGTGGATTGTTTGAGGTTGAGGAAGAACACCAGGAAGAATTATTCTAAGTTGTTCATTTCCTTTTTTCATTTCATTTGTTTTGCCTAGTACTATTATTGTTGGCATTTGTCACTGGGTGTTTTATTTTGAATAATGTTAATGAATAAAAAAAGAAGTACAAAAACGTCCTATGTAAAATCTTTGACTTAACTCTATTAGTCATTAATGCTGCCTTGAAGTACCATAAAGTTGCAGTGCCAGAATTTGGTAGCAAAATATCCAATTTTTAACTTAGTGGCAGTGGCCAAACATTCTGTTGCTATCAGCTTGAAAGTCTGGAAGATACTCTAACATGAGAAAGTTACATTTTTTATTCTCTGGAAAGCTTGCTATCTAATGGTCAGAAACAGTTATTCATCAAATACCAATAGTTGAATGATGCAAGAGCCAAGATCTCAAGTAGGTGCTGCCATCCAATGGTCAGAAGCAGCAATGAACCAAATATTTTGTCTAAATGTTTCCCCTGTCCAGTTGTGACCAACTCAAGGGAGCAGTGCTCATCTCCGATTCTTAACCTAGGGAGCCTGCGCTGTTTGAGAGATGTTTCCATCATCATGTAGCCAGCATGAAAATATGGAACGCTGTTATCTTCCCACCAAAGTGGTACCTATTTATCTATTCACATTTGCATGCTTTCGAACTGCTAGCTTAGTAGAAGCTGGGGCAAGTAATGGGAGTTGACCCTGTCGCACAGTGTTCAGATCTCGAAACTAGGCTGTTGGCTTTCCAGATGACAAGCTCAGCATCTTAACCGCTGAGCTATCCCACCCTTATCCTGTCCTACAGTGGGACATAATTTCACTAGGAATGTGAAGGAACCAAGAATCAAGATTCTAGATTGCACCTGTGGTGTTATGTTCCCACTGATGCATTTCCAAAGAGGGATCCTAGGGGTTGGATTAATCTCTATGCCTTTGTAGTTCTGCAACTGCCTTTTTTATAGACCCCAGAAATGTGGGCATTTTTCGACAGTCCTCCATGACAGGAAAGGCTTGCAGGACAGTTTGTATAGCTTATCTGATGTTATCTAAGATGTATAAAGGCATGTCAAATATAAGTTGGAAGTGTAAAAATAAAGAAGAGACATGTGATAAAGCAAAAAAAAAATTGGACTATGATTCATATTTCAATACAGAAAATTCTGAAAATGGAGATAAAAATGAAACCAGAACTTTTCCTCTTGGGTCTAATGGAAAAAGAAGTGGAGAAAAAATTTGAAACTTGGTTACTATATATATTGACAGCAGCAAGACTATTTATTGTATGAGCAAAAATGGAAGGACACTTTGATTCCTTCCATGGAAGAATGGTTGCAGAAGTTGATGGAGTTGGTTGAAATGGCAAAACTGACTAACTTGATTTAAAAAAGAACATAAGTACTTTTGTTTCCGCACGGAAACTGCTTCTGAACTCCATGCTTGATGTGGAAAAGAATGAAACCTTGACTTTGGGTTTTACAGATTACATTGATAGATCTTTATAGAAATGACTTGTCCATACTATTATGGAAAAGCAAAAAGCTGTTGATCTGTTGTTAATGCCTTATTCTACTGCAACAGAGAGAGTCGGAAGTCAATGCTTCTTTTTCTTTTTTCCCCCCCCCATCTTTCCTCGCTTTTTCCCCCTTTCCCCACCCCCACTGCTCTTCTATTTGCTTTTGTATTTTGTAATACTTTATAACTTAATAAGAAATTGAAAGATTAAAAAAAAGGAAAGACTTGTAGGACAACTATGCTTGGGATATACAGGTCATACAAGGCAAGTAGAAGATGTGGTTCCTAGGGCAGTTACTGCAATCTCAGTTTCTATGGAGGATCATGATTAGCTAATGAAACCTTTAGGGCAAGCTTCTGCTCCAAACCAAGAAATCATTTCCTCATTGTCGCTCTCATTAATCTGATACTATACTGCACTGAGTCTTCATACGTATGAAAGTTGTTCCTTTTCCCACAGAAAAACTGAGGGAAATAAAGTTTGGTGGAATAAAGAAATAATGAAGTAGAGAAATATTAGGCTGCATATGGTTAAGAAGTGTGATGGAATCTGCACTTGCCACAGCAACAGCAGGGGAGAATTTTGTCCACTGAGAGTGTTCCCAGGAAGAGACCAAGATCAAAAGATGAAGAGGATACAAGCTGAAGGGAAAAACAATTCAGGGTAGCCACAGCCTAGAATCTTTCAGGATATATCTAGTAGCTTAGAAAATTATAGCTTTAGTTTGGCAAGATTCTGTCTATAAGCAAACAAAGGATTGGATTCAGTTGGATTTCACTGCCACGTTTCTGCGCTTTGGGCTGACAAGGAGAGATAGCTCTGTTTGAGGTGAAGGAAGAGAATGGAAGAGGGTTGAGTTAAATGTCTTGGTTATATGATCCCCACTTTCCTGAATCAGCAGAGTGATTAATCTGTTATCTGAATGCCTTCTCACACTAAAACGGAAATAATACTGTTACTGATATGCTATTTAAAAACAAAACTTTGATGTTTTGGGAACTACTGCTTGAACACCCAAAGTGTGCTTGTACATATGCAGACAGCCATAAGGATAAAGATCATAAAGAACATCAACTAATGTGAAGATCATATGCATGACCTATGATCCAAAGCCCTGAATGTCTTAATTGGGAGGATGTAAGCAACAGTATGTTAACTTGCAAGGTAGATACCAATTAGATATTACAGCTTGCTTTGAATAGCATAAGTGTCTTTGAAGTTCAAATTGAGTTTTGGTTTTGCTTGTACTTTAATATCAAAATGTACCCAAACAAGCCAACACTATCCTTAGAAATAGAATGTAATACTGCATGGAGGACAGGTGCAACAAAGGCTAGTAACACAATCTGTATTTTTTTCTACCTTACAAAAAAGCATTATGTGAAAGCCTCAATTGACCAAAGCCATGATGGGCAGCATGTATGGCATATCCAGTGGTGTCTATGGCCTATGAAAATCACAACTTGGAAGAGCAGAGGAGTGAATCGTAAAGAGCATAAGTTAGCAAACCAAAGAAGTGGAAAAATGTGTTTGTGAGAAAGTGGAGAGAAAGTGGAATGATATAATATAGTTGAAAGAAGGTGGCCTGATACTGTGGTGTGGAATTGATGAATATATGCAAGGAAACAAAGGTACAGGTACAGATTTAATAATGAATAAAAGAGCTAAGTATTACATACTTGCCTGAAAGTATGAATTGGCATTATCTACATAACTATGGGAAAGTATCAAAGTATAAATCAATAGTTGGTGATAATTGCATGTTACACTCCAGTGAATGGTGACAATGGGAAAACTAGAGATTAGTTTGGGGAAGAGTTTTGCAACCTTCACAGTAAATTAGACCTAAAGGAAAAATATTCTGCTAGGTGAGAGAAAATGCAGAAAAGGTGAATGAGCCATTCAAAGAGACAAGAAAAAAAATAAGAAAAAGATCTGCAGGTTTTATTACATGGTTTAAGCATAACTCTTTCATATTTGTACACAGCAAAGGAATGAATAGAAACCAAAAAGTGTGATATCTCCTGTGAAAGACTGAGGGAATTAGTGAAGAATGTAAAAGTAAGGATAGGTTTTGAATGTGGAACCATCTAGTTTTTGGATTAGGGTCATGGAAAGAGAAGGGAAGAACACTGACTATTGTGAGAAATGAGTATTTGTCAAAAAAGGTAAAAATGGCTCCTTATAACAGCATGTTTCTGTCCACTTTAGAGAAGTGGAGATACATAAATGTAAATAGAATACAGGGAACGGAGTACTTAAAATCTGTGGAGTAAAACAGGATATGATAGGATCAAGTTTGACTGATCAAGAAGATAAACGCATTATCTTTAACATCTGTTGTCATGAAATGTTTTGAGAGGCTGGTGTTGAACTATATTAAGGTTAGTCTTCCGTCTGCTTTGGACCCATACCAATGAGTCTGCTTACAGGAAGGAAGTACAAGGACTGACATTGTGGTGTAATGAAAATAATCTCACACTTAACACCACAAAAACTAAAGAATTTATAATTGACTTCAGGAGGAAGAGAGATGTACATTTACCATTGTACATAAATGGTGAGGAGGTGGAGAGGGTGGGTAGTTTTAAATTTCTGGGCATTTATATCTCGGAGGACCTCTCATGGACTATGAATGCTAACATGCTTGTGAAGAAGGCACAGAAGAGGTTGTATTTCCTGAGAATGCTCAGGAAGATAAATCTATCTCAGCATCTACTTCTGTCCTACTATCACAGCACCATTGAGAGCGTCCTGACATATGGCATTCTTGCATGGTATGGGAGCAGCTCTGTAGCGGACAAAAAAGCTCTACAGAGAATCATTAAAACTGCCCAGAATATCATCGGACTCCAGCTACCAGCTCTGGATGACATCTTCGAATCTCGCTGTTTGAGAAAGTTGCATAACATTCTCAGAGACTCTTCCCATCCTGCTTACAATATTTTGGGACTGTTGCCTTCTGGCAGAAGATACAGAACAATTAAAATTTGGACCACACGTTTTCTGAATAGTTTTTATCCCAGAGCTATAATTGCACTCAACAATGAACTAAAGGGCCACCATCAGTGAGCTGTTGGACATTATTACTTGGTCTGTTGTGTGGATGTTTGGGTGGTTTAGGGGTGGAGAATTGTGATGGGTGGGAGTGTGTTTGGGGATTATATGTGTTGGACCTGGTCTTTGGGTGTTAAGTGAATTTCGTTGTATGGGTATATTGTGTATACATGTACAATGACAATAAAGTTATTTATTTATTTATTTATTTATTTATTTATTTATTTATTTATTTATTATAAAAATTAGTGACTGTAGAAACAATATTCATTAAGGCTGGTCATATGCAGAGTAAATGAGGATCAAGGTGCAAAACAAAGATGACGAAAAAATAAATGGATGGTGAGAAAGGAAGGCAAGATCAAGAGTCATGTATAGACAGATTTGAGATCTGCAAAAAGAGTGATATGAAAAATGTAGAGAACAAAAGGCAATGTATGTAGCAGTATACAGTATACATAAAATGGAAGCAAGTACAATTTATAAGGCTGGATAGGTATGGAGGCATATAGTGAATGGTATTAGTGTAAACTATGCTTCCTTTTATTTTTCTTATGCATTTAGTGTCTTTGACACATGAGTTCTTACTCCTTTTATATGCTCTGCATAAAGTAGCTTATTATTATTAAAGGAGACAAATTCCTTGTGTGTCCAATCGCACTTGGCCAATAAAGAATGTTCTGTTCTGTTTTGTTCTGTTCTATTTCTATATCTATTTCTATAGCTGACCATACCTATCCAGCCTTATAAATTGTACTTGCTTCCATTTTATGTATACTGTATACTGCTACATACATTGCCTTTTGTTCTCTAAATTTTTCATATCACTCTTTTTGCAGATCTCAAATCTGTCTATACATGACTCTTGATCTTGCCTTCCTTTCTCACCATCCATTTATTTTTTCATCATGTTTGTTTTGCACCTTGATCCTCATTTATTCTGCATATGACCAGTTATTTCTATATCTATTTCTATTTCTAATTCTAATTCTACTCTACTTCTTATCCCAAAATAGGATGCTGTGATTGGTATGTCCATATGCATGATCCAATCAACCCAATTCCACAAGAATAGTCTTTGTTAATTTTATCTATAGAAATGTGAAGAGGATAAGACTAATTTTATTACAGGAATTATGTTTAGTACTCAGTAAGAAAATTCATACCTTACAATTCCCATCCACCCCCCAAATAGTTTTATCTACAAGACCTGTGGCACTTACTTGTCAATACAAATCTTCTCTACCTGGGGAACCAGGACCTGCAACAGCCTCATGATTGTCTGCAGGGGCAATTTTGATTTCCAAGACACCACCTGCAAAGGAAAAGGATAGCAGTGAAGAGCTAAGAGTTTGAGTCAACTCAGCAAATCAATACCTGAAAAGGAACGCTTTCATTCAGATGAAAAAAACGCATCCAAATCTGACTTATATACCACTTCAGAGTGCCTTACAGCCCTTTCTAAGTGGTTTACAGAATCAGCATATTGCCCCCAACAATCTGGATCCTCATTTTACTGACCTCGGAAGGATGGAAGGCTGAGTCAACTTTGAGCCAGTGAGAATCGAACTGCTGGAACTCAGCAGAATTAGCCTGAAATGTTGCATTCTAAACACTGCACCACCATGGCTCTAATTAGAATTTACAAACAATTCCAGAAATAGTTCTGCAATAGACCACCTTTCAGTCTAAAAAGAAAGGCACCTACCAACAGTCTGAGTCTAAGGCCACTTCCCTATCTCTGAACTTGCCTTTTACTTTCACAAGCACTTTTGTGTACCTGAATGCATGTACTCATGGTTTCTACCTGAACTTTGGAAGATAAAGAAAAGGGACAGAGAATGACCATCTAGAGAACATAAATTCAGTGCTTTTCTTTCAGATGAAAAAAAAATAACTACATAGGTGTAGTAGCATAACCTTCTGATTATTTCTAATATTGGGGGAGGAAAGGCTTTAGAGAAAGCAAACTCCTATTGCAGGAGATGTTCCACTAATGGGTTCCCTGCCATGGGGGGGCGGGGGCTAGCTCATTAATATACACAAACTTTTTATGAGTGCTTCATTTTTTACAGGAAACCTCTACCTCAGAGTATACTTGACACACTTCAACCCTAAAGCTTTCTGAAAGAAAACAGCTATAGAAAATGAGAATGTTTGAGAAGCAGAGCAACCTATTTATCATGCAAGGAAGAAAAGCCATAGATGATAACAGGGATAACTATTCCATAATTTAAATTATTAATAGCGATCCTGCTATTCAGGAAGACAATCATCTGGGCTTTTATGAATCAGAGTTTCAACATTCCTTCTCCTTCAACTCTCATTAGTTCAATAGCAGCTGAGATGACCTGGTTTTTGGTCAGGTAAAATACAACCAGTGGTGGGTTGCCCCGGTTTGGACCACTGCCCTGGATGTCATCATCGGCGATCTGCGCATGCGCAGAAGCTTCTGTGCATGCGCAGAAGCAAGGCGTGCACGCGATCCCGTTGCGAACCGGTAGTAAAGGTAAATAGAATCCACCCCTGAATACAACCCATAAATAAAGTTAAAATACTTCCAGGAAGATATATTATCTAGCACTTTTTAAGCATAAATGGCAAAATGAGGTAAGGCATGGTCCTTCCTCGTAAATCAGAGGTGGGGAACTATGGCCCTTTTATGACTTGTGATCGTCAACTCCCAGAATTCCTAAGCCAGCCATGAAGTTGAAGCTCAAAAAGTCATAAAAGGGCCATAATTCCCCACCCCTGTCCTAAATGAAAGCAGCAGATCATTATCATGTTGGCTAAAGAGAGAAGTACTCCAGAGACTAGTAAACAGATACTATATCACCCTCGGTGGATGATTCAACTTTCTCTTCTCACATCACTACTTGCTTCCTTATCAAATGAAGCTAATAAGGAATGTCACTCGTGTGATTAAAAAGCAAGTTATATCTCTGTTTTACTTGTTAACAAGAGTTGCCAGCATCTCTCACCCACTCAGAAGTTGGATTCCACTGCCTAACTGAGGATGTGCTGGACAGACGTCGTCGATCCCGTCTGGATTGTGAGGACTCCTAAGGACAGAATGCAAATAGCAATAGCACTTAGACTTACATACTGCTTCATAGTGATTTTACAGCCCACTCTAAGCAGTTTACAGAGTCAGCATATTGCCCTCAACAATCTGGGTCCTCATTTTACCGACCTTGGAAGGATGGAAAGCTGAGTCAACCTTGAGCTGGTGAGAATCGAACTGCCGAACTGCAGTTAGCAGTCAGCCGAAGTAGCCTGCAGTACTGCACTCTAACCACTGCGCCACCTTGGCTATTGCTAAATTGTTTTGTTTGTCCAAGGGCTACAGCTTCCCTCTGTTGTATACTGCTACACATAAAATCAAATATTGTTTAGCAAGGATCTGCTTTTCAGCGTCCCAGTGCAAGTCTGAGAGAGGGGGGTTGGCTCAAAGTCACCCAGCTGTCCTTCTGTGTCAAAAGAAGGACTCCCATTTCTAGCCCAGCACTTTAATCACCACACCATGTGCTGGATATTGTGTGTTTGTGCATCAGGGGTGAAATGCTCCCGGTTCGCCTGATCCGGTAGCAATGGTGGCAGGTGGTTCAGAGAACCGGTAGCAAAAATTCCTGCCCCCCCGCCGCCCAGCTGAGCCACGTAATCATCAGAGGCTTTAAAAAAAAATTTTTAAAGCATTTTTTCTACAACCTCTTCAGGCGAAAGAATGCTTTTAAAAGTAAAAAAGAAAAAGCCTCTGATGATAGTTCGGCTCAGTTGGGATCATCAGAGGCTTTTAAAAGCATTTTTTCTACAACCTCTTCGGCCGAAGAGGTTGTAGAAAAAATGGTTTTAAAAGTAAAAAAAAAAAAAAGTTGGCCACGCGCACCCAGTCACATTACCCCCCCCAAACCACGCCCACAGAACCAGTAGTAACGAATTTTACATTTCACCACTGGTGTGCATGTGTATGAGTGTTTCACACATAGTCCTCAGGATGGCAACTGGGATCAGAATTGCCATTGATAAGCAATGCAATCGTAAAGTGAAACTTTGCATGACAGCACTGCTTAGTTTTATAGCAGTTTTATAGCAGTTCCATCGTTAAGCAGGTCTTTAAGTAAGGGTCTCATGTACCATGACTTCCAAATTGCTGTCTTCCCCATTGACTTTGTGGGAAGCTGGCAGGGATGTTGGAAATCACGATCAAGTGACTGTGCCTGACTATGACATTGTAATCACCAGCCAGTTGCAAAAGCACCCAGATTGCAATCACATGACTGGAGAGACATTGCAAAATCCAATGCTCCAGGATTGGTCATAAATCCTCCTTGTTCGACATCATCACAAGTTCGAACAATCACTGAACAAGCAGTCATAAGCCAAGGATCACCTACCTACATACAAACACACATCCATACACATATTCTTATTATTCTTACTCATCCCTATGTCATTAATTATCAGGAAGAAATATATATAGCCAACAATAGCACTTGAGCAGGAGAAAGCTATAGTACATTATCCACAACCAAGTGCTTCAAACTGAGCAGAATCAGAATCCTTTAGAGATATAATTTATCTTCAGAGCTGATCTCTAAAACAAGCAAGATGCAGGATGCCCTGAGCTGTTAGCTTTACTGCTCTCTGAGATTTACTGTTGCATAAAACAATCAATCAAACCTGCATTATTTACAATTACTGTAACTTTGTTGTCCTAGGCTCAGAGATTGGTATCACTTCCAATAAATTTTCTTTAAAATAAATTCATAAAAATATTTGCTTTGGGCACAACTTGTATTATCCTATTCCCCAATCATGAGAACCTATCCAATAGGTTAGGAGTTTATTGCAGGATAATTCGAATGAGCAATGAGTCAAATATATATATTCCCTAGATTGTTCCCATTGATAGGAGGGAATGAACTGAGTTTAACCACTATGTTTGAAATTTCCTAAGTTTCCTGTAAGAAAATGCAGAGTTCAAATTGAAATAAATAAAATGCACCCCAACATTCTATTATTTATTATTTTCTGCACAGAAAATGTTTTCTCCAATTTTGGGAGATCTACTGTCAAGGATAATGAAACCCTTGACTACCCATCTATGAAGCACCTAACATTATATTAAGATGCTACTCTGAATTGTTCCATCATTGCTGTGTTCTTCAACCAGTTAGCTACCCAAGAGCAGTTTGCAAACTTACCATGTTCCAAGTTTCAGTATCACCAGCCATGCCTGGTGGGCTTTCTTCTGCTGGAGACTGAGAGGACTCTGGCTCTAGGGAGCGCATGGTCCCATCCTCTGACACCTGAGATTTCTCTGTGAGTTTGTCAATGCCTGATTTTTGAGAGGCAACATTAAGAAAAAAAATTGGGCAAGATCTAGAGAGTTTAGCAATATATTCCATCTTTTTAGTCAAGATCAGAACACAATTTTACCTACGGCAAGTTTCCCTAGCACTTTGCTAGCAAACAAAAAAATAAATAAACCAAGTAGCTGGCGAAACAGACCACGTCAGATGATTTTTAACATTTTACAATAGTTTAAAATAATACATTTGCATTTTTACAACATGACTACTGTTTATTTTTACTTGTTCTAGACCAGGGGTATCAAACTCATGTCATCACGGCAGCATCACGTGACATAGCGGGAGCTTTTCCCCCTTCGCTAAACCGAGCATGGGTGTAGCCAGCGCGTGACGCATCCGGCCCGTGGGCCAGGAGTTTGAGAGCCCTGTTCTAGGCATCCAAATAGCTTTTAAGAAAGGAGAATCCTAAATCAACAAAATAAAAGTTAGATTATATAAAAGCAAGAGACAGAAATAAATAATGAAGTCATACAGATCAGGGAATAAAAATTATTTACTATCAGAAACCTACAGTAGATCCAGGTCTTAAACCATCAAAGGCTTACCCCAGTCTACCTTCTGGACTAAATTAAAATCTTCTGTGAGCGTCAGTGTCTCAAATACTCTGGACTGACCTGGGGTTGCTACTAGGCTGGCCTTTAGTGTTCCAGGTTCTGCAGGTGCAGCAGGTCGTGACCCTTCCATGGACATCGCCTCCTGAGAGTTGGTACGAGAGATGGGCTCAGGAGCTTTCTTTTTGCGTTGCAAAGCTTTCTGGATAGACTGCAAGTCAGTAGGTAGATTGGCCAGCTGATGAAATACATTTCGCTTGCGAATAATGGCGTATACCAAATTGGAATTTCCTGGGAAATCACAACAGGAGGAGAAAAATAACACCTTTAACCTTTTGTAATTGGGAAACACAAATTGATAAAGATCGTGGGTAGGAGTACACACAAAAAACAAGTAATCAATGGTTTCCTGCAATTCAATAGCTGTCTGAATTTTTGCAGCTTAGATCTGGAAGCCCTAATGGTGAGATGATGAGAAATTAACTACAGCTAGATCTGTATGCTCAGTTTCATGGAATGGAATGGAATGGAATGGAATGGAATGGAATGGAATGGAATGGAATAGAATGGAATAGAATAGAATAGAATAGAATAGAATAGAATAGAATAGAATAGAATAGAATAGAATAGAATAGAATAGAATAGAATAGAATAGAATAGAATAGAATAGGTCTTGGTGCATATGCTCTCAATGTACATAAAAGAAAAGATACGTTCATCAAGAATCATAATGTACAACACTTAATGATAGTCATAGGGTACAAATAAGCAATCAAATCATATTAGGAAACAGTCAATATAAATCGTAAGGATACAAGCAACAAAGTTATAGTCATACAGTCATAAGTGGAAGGAGATGGGTGATGGGATCGATGAGAAGATTAATAGTAGTGCAGACTTAGTAACTAGTTTGACAGTGTTGAGGTAATTATTTGTTTAGCAGAGTGATGGTGTTCGGGGAAAAACTGTTCTTATGTCTAGTTGTTCTGGTGTGCAGTGCTCTATAGCGTCATTTTGAAGATAGGAATTGAAACAGTTTATGTCTAGGATGTGAGGGGTCTGTAAATATTTTCACAGCCCTCAACTCAAGCTCAGGAAGTAGTAGAGGATTAGCATTGTTCTGTTCCTCCTACCTTAGCTCCTTTCTTCATGTTAGTCAAATTATAGCCTGATGTTTTTGAATAGTTGTTCCTTCAGATGGTGACCTCTACATCTTTTAGCTCATCACTAGATTACTGTGCCACAAAGAATAAACTGATAAGTTATCTATTACAAAACTGATAACTTATCTGTTGCAGATAACTCTGTCTGTTTCAGCACAATATCAAGAAATGTTACTAAACATTATCCCAGCTGATGTTTCCCAGAAATTATTTAAAAACACAATGAAATAAAGTGATTGATTATGTTACATTGACCAGCATGTAAGATTTAGGATTTCAGGCATATTTGGCTTTCTAACTGGCTATCAAATAACTGAGAGTCTGTTTTATTCATGACCTCTCAGAATTCATTCCCAACTTATAAATGAAGTTTATATTACGGAAGCATATATTTGAAAAGATTTCACCAACAAGTGAAAAATCAAAAGAGGGCTAAAATGCCATAAAGTAATGAGCGAGAAGTGTTGTGGGCAACAGTGGTTATCAGTAACAGGAACTGCCTTTTCCAATTAAAATAATAAAGGGACAAACTTACATTTTACATTTTATTTTACTAACCAGAAATGGCAAATCTAAGAAAGAAAGAAGGGGTATTTGCACCATGTTTGATGAAGAAGCTTGGTACTTTATACCTACATGAATATTTATTCTTGCATAGATTAAACTATCAGAGAGGGATTGCCTTTTTTTTTTTTTTAACTGTTCAGCCACTCACCATCAAACTGGTACTGGATGATATTGTTGAAGACTTCCAACAAAAAGAAGACAAGGTGATGGTTTTGGACCATGGAGAAAAGAAACCAAGTAGTTGAAAATGCTTCCAATAGATGCAGCAATTTATTAGCTGCTACCATGGAAAGAGACTTCAAGTATGGAGATACTAGGAGATGGAAAAAAATAAAAAGAAAGAAAAAGTCATTTGGGGAGATCAAACATCCATTATAATTATGTACCATATTAAGATCCAAGTGTTAACTCATTTAAGATCCAAGTGTTAACATCCATATCTTAACACTTGCTATGGGAAGGCGCTACAAATTAATTTTATAAAAGAAAATAGCACTACTACTAGTATAATATCCAAGTTCACTGAACTCTTGAACAGCTACATCATAATGGTAAAGAAAACGAACGCCATCTACTGAGAAGAAGCATGTATTACAGCAACTCTTCAACCATTTTTAAAATTATGTCCACTCTGAACGACGGTATCCCTCAAATAAAACCAAGAGAGGTTCAAAGCTACACATATATCTCCTATTTTTTTCAACAGTTACCTCCAAAAAGAGTCTTAGGTACTAAAATTAAATTTCTAGACATGGTAAAGCCTGCATGCATAACTATACTGGTTTCAATTCTGAAGGAAAACCACACCGCACTATTCGCCCCCAAGATTTTGAAAATAAAAATATATTTTAAATATATATTAAGGCTTTCAGTTTTGGCTGTCATTTTAGAGCAGGCAAATTACCATTCACTATGATGGTAAGGAGGCAGTCAAACAGGGGCTGCAACCGCTGATGTCCACTAGTGATGATCTTATGAAAAACCTGCAAGGTATAATAGAAAGTAAGAATGTAAACAAAAAATTGCAGAGTTGCTGTACTATTTTTATAGCAGCTAGATTCTCTGCTACGAGCAAAGACACTGCTAGCAAATTCCAGACTCACAATGATGAGAAGATCAGCATGTGTCCCCGTAAAGACAGGAATATCCATCGGTACTCGTACAGAATATGGCTTGTTGAGGCGGACACCAAAATTTCTTTCCCCGCTCAGCAGCAATAAGATGAAGACACCAATATGCATAAGACCAACTCGAGCTGTAAAAATATGGTGCCAAAATTAAATCTGTCAGTGGCCGAAAGGCAAGCCAGCCATTAATAATAGCAGATCAAAAATAAAATATAATGCTTACTAACATAAATACCTCACTCTCATTCGGTGAGGTATTCTAAAAAAAAAATGGTTCAATGTCACCCATGCTGCTGTCCAGCAGACAGTTTAAGATCAAGAAGCAGCCTGCATCTGTTGCTATACAATTTTATGCAGAACTCCAAATGTAACCCACATGACTCAATATGTGGATATTCATGTGGTTGTTTTTGGTCCCAACTCAGCTCTGGCCCTTCCCCAATTAGGATCTCAGAAATCACTGATCTTAATCTATCCCACAAAGTGACATGGAAATAGCTTGTGGTCTTATCTGAATTCATTCATTTGATATTTAAAGCCTATAAACAAACACATTTCCCTGGCATGTTCTAACGTTATTATCCAATATGGCAGGTTACACAGCCAGCCAAATGTTAGACTAGGTTTGGCATTTTTACCCACCTATCAAGTCCTTTATTACTATTAAGAGATACACAGAGGTGTGGAAGTTTGAGTGTATGTAGAGTGCGTATGTGCGTGCGTGCGTGTGTGTGTGAGAGAGAGAGAGAGAAAAGAGCTACACTTTTGCTGTGAAGAAAGCTACGAGGGGACAGCCTGATGCAAAATTAGTGAGTCACATTGTGTGTACATGAACAGTTTCTTAAATTTCCTAGTGTTTCACAGTTAACCTCAGGCTTACATTACCGATTCTGTTTTATTTAATCTCTAAAGTGTGTAAAAGATGAAATCTCTTGACGAAGCCAAGTTCTCAAGGTTACAAAAAATGGAGCCACAGGATGCCCAATGCTACCCCACCATGCCTTTGGGATGACAAAGACCACAGACACCAGTTGGGAGCATTGGAATGGGGTCACATACAATTTTACCTATATTAAGGCAGGAACTAGAGGAACTGTTTGCAACGTCACCTTTTGCTATCTAGATTAGAAATGCCAGATTTGCCATTCTGTAAATAAGCACCAGTCAGCCAGGGACTTGGATCCAAATACAATTTACATTTCTGGAATCAGTCTCAGGACTGGGGAATCAGTTGGAAAGACTCTGAATCAACTTTTTCCAGCATAGAATAGATAAAACCAAACTTACATTGATCTGCTCTAGCATCATTAAGGAAATAGAGGATTGGCACCAGGATATCTAAAACGTCACTGCTTTTCAGAACAAAGAAGAGAAATTTCTGAAAAAGGAAAAGGACAATTATGCACCAAGTTGGTGGGGGGAGTCTCTATAAGTGTCACGAAAACTGGACAGAATAAAACTGCATCAATAGGGGAGAGGAACTACAAGTTTCAGCATGTTTATCGATGTTTTCCAGCAGACCTGTAAAACATTGCATTTTGAAACGTTTTCCCTATTTGTTCATTTTCCAATGGCTTCACATTTTAAAACTGGTTTAGGGAGGGCAAAACTGAGGATTTTGTGAAGGAAGAAAGTTCGGCTTACTCAAAGTGATTATTTGTTAGCAGACTTGAGAAAATTGTACTGTTGGCATTAAAAATGTCTTGAATAGAAATCATCCTCTGATATATTTTTGATCTGAAGGCATCAAAGAACAGGTAAGCATAATAATTTTCCTATACAGATTGCTTTCAGATGGAGGTTTCTCAGGAATACAGATTCAACAAGCCTGATATCTGAACACACAGGCAGAGATTGAGACTTATTAAGTATGCGGCATCAGCAATGGGTCAGTGATTCCAAACAACTATCACTACTGCATCATAACCCAATCTTTCAAATCATTTGTTTCTCTTCTAATCCAAACTTGTTACTGTTGACCAGCTCACCATCACTAAGTTTCTCCCATGTGTTCGTTTAACAGGCCCTGATCAGTGATGGAATTCAAATTTTTTTACTACCGGTTCTGTGGGCATGGCTTGGAGGGCGTGGTGTGGTGTAGCTTGGTAGGTGTGGCAGGGGAAGGATACTGCAAAATCCCCATTCCCTCCCCACTCCTGGGGGAAGGATATTGCAAAATCTCCATTCCCACCCCACTCTGGGGCCAGCCAGAGACTGGTTCTCCGAACTACTCCGAACTACTCTGAACTACTCAAAATTTCCACTACTGGTTCTCCAGAACCTGTCAGAATCTTCTGAATAGCACTCCTGGCCCTGATCCTGCTCTCCTATCCCAATTCTTTAATAATGCCAGCAATATAAAACAGAACCTTGTTGAAATCACAGAGTTTCCAGAAGAGAACCAGGAGCTCTTGATGGAACTGGATCCTTTTAGTAGAATTTGGCAGGTAGGTTTGGACCAGAGGGTTGGAGAGCAGACGAGCCACTCCTTTCAAAACAAACTGGAAATCCTGACAACATAAAAAAACATAAATATGTTGTGATCTGGAAACCTAAGATTAAGCCAACTGAAATGAAAACAAATCTGATACATTACCTCTTCTCTGTGTATCCTGGACAGGTAATTGACAAACAGGTTGTCTGGTCCTGGAGGCTGCATTGAAAGAAACCACGTAAATGTTTCTTAGATTCAAAACACCCTTGGGATATGTATATTTGTCTCTGAATTTATTGGCAAATGACATTTTGACTAAATCAGTCAAACAATCCTGATACTATGTTAAGTATTAAACTACAACTGATACCTGTGATCCCAGATATTGGTGAACTATAATTCCCAGGAGCCTCAATCAGGACGATCAATGGCAGGATACTGGGCGTTTTAATTCAGCAACATCTGGAGAGCCTTTACTATGCTAAGCACTAGAATATAATGGTTGCTCATCATTTTATGAAATGAATAAAAAATAGGCCTAATATTTCCTAATTTAAAAAATGTACAGCATAGAATAATTAGCTGATTTTCATCAGAAACCAAACGCCTAAAGTGCTCAAGTCTCTGTTGATTCATGGGTATTATGAATACCTCTCCAGTATGCAGTACAGCGAGGAAAGACAAGAAAATGTAAATATTTATGCCAGTAATGCAGTGAATGAAAAGGTCTGAATTAATAAATCTGCTCATGGAAAGAGAATTCAAATTAGTTAGTTTGGTATTCAGAAGGCAAATGTACATCTATAAGCACTTAAGAGACAATATTTCAGATCCATCACATTGTTTTAAGATGCAGGTATTCTTCGACTTACAACAGTTCATTTAGTGACCGTTCAAAGTTACAACAACAATGAAAAAAGTGACTTATGACCATTTTTCATACTTACAACCGTTGTAGTGTTCCTGAGGTCAAGGGATCAAACTTTGGACACTTAGCAACTGGTTTATATTTATCATGGTTGTAATGTCCTGGGATTATGCAAAAGGGATTATGTGGCCACCTTTTGCAACCTTTTGACAAACAAAGTCAATGGGGAAGCCAGATTCATTTAACAGCTCTGCCGCTACCTTAACAATAGTAGTGATTCATGTAACAATTGCGGCAAGAAAGGTCGTAAAATGGAGCAAAATTCACTTAAATGTCTCACTTAACTACATACATTTTGGGCTCAGTTGAGGTCATAAGTCGAAGACTACCTGTACTTGATACATGCTTGCTTAAAATAAAACCAGAAAGATGGGTAAAATCTATTTTTATGTTTGAGCCCAAACATCTTCAAAATATTTCAGGCCAATTATCTGGATTCCTAGGTACCATGGAAAGCTACCCTTTGAGAGAAGAAATTAGCACCATCTTTCCAGGTTGCTTATGTACTAAAAGATTCTGTTCAAAGCTGCTTTGCTTTAAGAAAGCCAGTTGAAGTGTTATATGCATATCTGCCGCTCCTCCACATTATAAACACAGCTAAAACTGGGAGCAACTCACATCGGTATCATCCATGACTGTTCCAGTGGTAGTGCCATCTACTGTGGGACTGGAGCTGGTAGAAGTGTCATAGTCCAATGTGACGATAAGGACTTGAGCGGCCTGCTCCACCAATGGTTCACGATAGTCCGAGAAGAGCAAGTGGTTATAGGGGATCCCATAACCCACTGGATCGTAAGCACAGACGATATTCAAGAGGGAAGTAAAAAGCGGTAGGGCATGCCTAGAAGAGGATCCAACATGCTCAAAACAGTGCATCAAAAACTTGAAGTGTTTAAAGCTTTCCAACAAAGAATAAGCTTTTGTCTTATTAGCAGCGATTAAGTAGTGTTTTTATTCCTCAGAAACATTCATTAGTGAAAAGAAAAATGCATTTGAGGTCATTATTCTTAGTTATTTTAATAAATGAAATAATATGCTATATGAATGACAATATAGTATGTATGTATGTCTTTAGGGCTATGTTTGCCTAATTAAAACATCCTATTTTGCTCTGCAGTATGGCTGAGTGGCTGCAAAAAAATGTCACATATTTTAAAAATAACCCAACTCTTTCTAAAAATTTCTTCAATTTATAATAAAAAGAACCCATTCATATTGCACAATTTCTTCTGCTTCTTTTAAAATGCATCCTGTCTCAAGGACAAATGTTTAGTATACTAAGGGGGGGGCCTTAACCCCCCCCCTTAGATATTTTTAATTGTTAATTTGATTTTAGTTGGGGTGTTTTAAATTATTGGGCCAAAATTTGTTTAATTCTTTCTTTAAAAAATTTAAATTTTGTATGCGATGTTTTTATTCTTGGCTGTTCACCGCTCTGAGTCCCGTGGGAGAAGGGCGGTATAAAAATCTAATAAAATAAAATAATAAATAAATAAATAATACTACTAGGGCGAGCTGGGGGCAGCAAAATCTGGAGTTGCCTGCTTTCCTGCTGACTATATGACAAAAGGGTAAGCAGTTGTGTGGATGTAGTCTAGTATTCCAAAACAATCCACTATTTGGATCAAACATTGATTGGCTCCAATTAGGCAAACATAGCCCCAAAGACATACATACTGAAGTAATAAGGAAAAAGAAATAACTGAAGGCATAAGGTGGGGAGAAAGGAAGTAACTATCATATATAGGCAATCCTTTTAATAAAAGAAGGCTTAGATCAAACAGAAGTATTTCAAAGCACCCATCACATGCAATTTGCTATTTCTCACCTGTTCTCTGTAGAACAGAAGAACTGGACCCAAGGATTAGTGTTGCTGCTCTCAGAGGAGGGAGGCAAGTACATGACCTCTGAGAAACAGGTCAGCAAAAGTTTCAGTAGCTCTGTCCTGAAAAATGTATGAATAGCAAGTTTCGGTCAGAGAGAGAATTCATTATTATTCACAGAGATTTTGCCATGATTTTATTCTTTATTTTGTAGGAGCAAGTTTGTTAAACTGTTTTAAAAAATTGTGCTAAAACTAGAATGAGGCTTTCCTACAGTAGGATTTCTTAAAGAAATAGTATACAATTCAAGTCCTTTAAGCCATCAGGAGCCACGAAGATATTTCCTTATTCACTGCAAGCAGGTTTACAACAATATTGTAGCATTGGAAAGAGACTAGCCAAGCAGGGGAGTAGGAGGGAGGAGGGAGTCAAACAAGGAACTAGTCTGGAATTCCTATGTGAGCATAAGAGGATGAAGTCTGACCACTCCCTTGAATGCCATTGAACCTTATCTAGTCTTATCCAGGTGCAAACCATCAATCTGAGAAGATTCCTGTGTACAGACTTGAGCAAGAAAACAACTAATTGAAGACTTCGCCTGTGGGTTTAGTTGTTTGGACCTCACAGTCAGTTTATTCAATTGGATATTCTGCTTGGCTCCATCCCAATCAGAGTTTATGTTCAGTGGTTACAGAAAACTAACAATGAAGTAAATGATAACAAACTGTGCAATCATCTATAAGGGATTTGTAATAGTACTGGCAATTTTTGCACTGTAATAAATTAAGAGTGTCTCGGTTTTCATATTCTATGATGGTCATCCAGAAGATGAACTTGAAGTCTAGTGATTAAGGCACCAGGCTAAATAGCAGGAGATCATGAGTTCTACTCTCACTTTAGGCATGAAAGCTGGCTGGGTGACCTTGGGCCAATCTCTGTCTCTCATAGCCTGATCTGTCATTTGCCAATGTCCTCACCTATTTAAATCATGACTGAAGTTGGGTGACGGTGAATGAGCAAATCCAACACCAGCCTCCCAGATGTATTCACAACTATCAATTGCATGGATATCTTCAGCTGTGTCCTGGAAAAGAAAAAGAAGTTAGCACATCAAATAGTATCAAACCTTCCAGGTAAAAGTACTAATAGGATGATGAAGATTTAGACAAAATCTTTCAATTCTCTTGCAGATGGAAAAAAACAATGAGCAGTGGCACAGAATTAGAGGGGACTTCTAGCATTACTAATTCAAATCATGTGAGATGGCCTTTCCCACCTTAATGGATTTTCTACAATAAGAAGAAAGGTGGAAGAAATACAGAAAGACATGAGAAGTTTACAGGGTTGTGTCAATGAGGCATACTGATTGCACGTTAAAAGTCTCATAAGGAGAAACTCAGAGCATATTATATCACAGTAAACGTCAAAAATCCAAAATGATAGAGTGAGGATGGCTCCACTAACAGCAGAATGGCAGAATACATAGCCAGCAAGTAGACCAGCTTTTGTAACTCCTCTCCAAATAAGGAGAAAACTTGAGATCACCCACAAGTGCTCCAAACAGTTGCTCCTTGTGCAGAGATCACAAGGCAGGGGGTCTTCAGCAGTTTTAGGGCACTTCGAGATGAGGGAATAGCCATCTTTTTGCTCAAACTACAACCAAAGCCTTCAAAACTGTACTGGGTTCTTTCCAGTCACTTTCAGAAATTGCTTGCTATTTATTGATTTATTGATTTATCAAATTTACACTGTCAATCTCACAAAAAGTGACTCTGGGCAGCCTACAACAATTAAATAAAATGATAAACGTATTAAAAACAGTTAAATGAAAATAATGCTTCATGCTTTTGATGAGGACAACTTTGGCTTGCAAAAACTAAACTACAATATGTTTCCACAGGTCTTTTCAATATTTCTGGCTAATCTTAATGAAAGCTGACATATTCAGGAAGATCCTATCATAAAATGCAGCCCAAATATAAAGATGGGGGTTGCTGTTTCAGAATTAGTCATACTGTGGCCTAGAGATATATGAGTCATTATTTTGCAGGGTCCAGTTTTACAGGTTTGCTAGAGGTCTCCTATACAAGAGTTTTCTATACTTGTGAACAGAAATCTTACAAGTAAACTTCCCCACAAAGACCAAGAATACAAGCACTGAATTCACAATCTTCTTGTATCCATAGACAATAATAGCTATGCTTTAAAAAATCTTCCTTAGGATTGCATTTGTGTGTAGGCAAGGCAAGGTTAGGCAGGTATTATTGCATTGCAGTAATATCTCTTCTTTCTAAAATCCCCTCAAGATTAGTGACAAAATTCAGAGTAAGTCAGAATTTTGAAGAGTTCTGGTTTGTTGTTATTAAGCAATATGCTGTTCCACAGATTTACTGATTTTTCTGTTATCAAATAGTGATTTCACTCGTGAATTGATTTTAGTGTTACATGCAAACCAAGAATCTGATGTTTGTTCCTGCTGTAACAAGCGAGAAGTTCTACAAATCAATTCTTGATTTAAAATCCTAGCTGGCTAGAAAAGCAACATGAACCTAATTCCAGTATGTTTCACAAAAAATATGAACTATGGTCCCCAGTTGATATAGCAACCTCAGTTGAGAGATAAGCCATCAGGACTCCGGAATTCTCTCAGTCAACCATGCCCTGATCATCTCCCATGTGGACTACTGCGAAGTGCTCTACATGGGGTTACCCTTAAAAAGTACCTGCAGAATGCAGTGGCATAGACAGTCTGGGGCACTTCTAGTGGCACATATATAAGACCTCTGCTGCGTATGCTGTATTGGGTGTTGGTTTGCTTCAAGGTCCAATTCAACATGTTGATGATCATCTTTAAAACACATGGGATGGGACTAAGTTACCAGATGAACAGCCTCATCCCAATTATATCAGTTTTTCCCACCCGGTCAGGCAGGAAGGGCAAGTTTCAAACCCTGACAGCTAAAGAATTTCAACTGGCAGGGATCAGGAAAAGGCCCTTCTCTACCACTGCCCCTGTCCTATGGAACATTGTGCCCCGAGGCGAGGGTGGCTCCCATCTTTCTGGACTTGTAGAAGACAGTTAAAAACTGACTCTGTCAATTGTGAAGGGGATCCAAGAGTGGAATGCAACATTGGAATAACTGGTGATTTGAAATAATTCTTTCATATTTTTTTAAAACTCCTGTCTTTTTGGGTCTGTTTTTTAATTCTTTTAACTTTGTCTTTTGTATGGATTTTATAGTTTCTTTTATCTGTAAACAGCCCAGAGCAACTTCAATAATAGCAATAGCACTTAGACTTATATACCACTTCCCAGTGCTTTACAGCCCTCTCTAAGAGGTTTACAGAGTCAGCATATTACCCCCAACAATCTGGGTCTTCATTTTACTGACTTTGGAAGGACGGAAGACTGTGTCAACCTTGAACTGAGGAGATTCTAACTGCCAAATTGCTGGCAGTCGGCAGTCAGCAGAAGTAGCCTGCAATACTGCATTCTAACCATATACTGCATTTTAACCACTGCACCACCATGGTTCATAATGAGATGGGGAGTATATAAATTTGATGAATAAATAAATAAAATGACATTAAATAAATCATGTGTCAGAATTCTCCATTCCTCCATTTTCCATATTAGCTGGTCTCCATCTTTGATAAAGATTGATAGCTCAGGGCAATCACTATTTCACTTACTGAAAATTCCACCTTAATCCAGACAGCTCAGTAACTGCACTGGACTGTATACAAAAAAATATTATAGCAATAAATGTTTCCTATTGATAGTTGATCTTGACCATCTTAAAAATTGAGACTGTCATGCCAGTTCCTAAACAACCAAAGTTTGACTTACCACATTGTTTTTTCGATGGCTCTGGACAGTGAATTCTGGACAGAAGAGCAGATCTGCAACAGCTAGAAGCAGTGACTCAGCCAGTGGTCTAGCATTTTCATCATCTTCATCTCCCTATAAATCAGCAATAAGTTACAATATTTACAATATTTCTGTCCTTATATCATTGCAGACCACAATGGGGGGGGGGGGTGTTAGAGAAATCTGGGTGATATTTCATTTATTAAGTCAATATTTATACTGATAATTTATGACATACAGATAATCCTCGATTTATGACCGCAATAGAGCCTAAAATTTGTTGTTAAGTGAGAATCAGTTAAATGTTATGACTTTTCTTGCCACAGTTAAGTGAATCACTGCAGTTGATAAGTTAGTAACCCAGTTGTTAAGTGAATCTGGCTTCTGCACTGACTTTGCTTGTCAGAAGGTGTCAAAAAGTATGACACTTTCGCATGACTCTGGGGCACAGCAACAGTCATAAATATGAACCAGTTGCCAAGCATCTAAATTTTGATCATGGCAAAAGTCATAACTGTGAAAAACAGTCATAAATCACATTTTTCACTGCCATTGTAACTGCACGGTCATTAAACAAACTGTTATAAGTCAAGGACTACCTGTATGGAAACACATGGAAAAATGGCATTGACATGAGCCAGAAATTTCATTATACTATAAGTATGGTAAGATTTATCCCTGTATGTGCTACCCCAGGCAAGCAGACTGAATTACCATGACTACTGGTAGACTACAAACTACTGAAGTCTGATACTTCCAACTACAATTTAGATAGGCTTCAGTTCATTATCTTTCGTATGAACAGAATTTCAGCAAAGCACGTAACTTCATTTGCTGTGGTGCAGCCCGTGACCAATATACAATAGAAGTAGAGATTACTTATAGAAGAGATGCTCTCGGCTTGCTGAGACCAAAATATCTTCCTGCAAAGCACCCCGAGTGCTTCAAGGCTTTCAAATCAAGCTGTGTCTTTTTTGTCTCAATGCTGACGCTTCACTCCACATTTACAACAGTTTCCAAGGGAACCAGAGATCTTCGTCAGCAGGTCTCTAGCTCATTTTCCTCCTCCCCCCCCCCTACACTCATCCCGGATCTCATATTCCTGTCCCCACCCTGTGCTGAAAAAAATGACAGGCTGTTATCTGTGACAGCCAGGCTGTATCAGCTTGTGCATGACATAGACACACAAAGCCTTTCACTCACAGCAAGCAGACTGGATTATAATAATAACCTGTATTGATCTGACATTATCTAGTGCCACATCAGAACATCTAATAAAAGTGTTTCAAATGCAGAAAACAGTCGCAAGACATTAAAAAAAATCAACTGCAGATACATTCATTTAGCTTTGAAATTAGAGAAGGAAAAAGGAGCCTTAGAATCTTAAAGGTTAAAAGCATGAATCAGTTAACTAAAGAGATCATTTTATGACTCCATCAACCCCATAATAATGAGGATATTTAAAACAAAGCCATGCCACACAGAAAAAAAAGCTGTACAGCACTGATTATTGGTTACAATTCTACCTGAGATTCTCCAGCTCAGTCAAATGAACAGAAAACACTACAATTATTGTATACTTTTAACTTTTGCTCATCTCAATAGAACTAGCTCTGAAGTACTGTATTTATAGAATTTACTGAGTAAAGATTAATCTGTTATTTTACAAATAAGGGGTTGTCACAGAGAGGAGGAGGTCAACCTATTTTCCAAAGCACCTGAAGGCCAGACAAGAAATATGGACGGAAACTAAACAAGGAGAGATTCAGCCAAGAAATAAGTAGAAATTTTCTGTCAGTGAGAATAATCAACCAATGGAACAGCTTGCCTTGTGTCTTCGGAAGTTGTGAGTGCTTCATCACTGGATGTTTTCAAGAAAAGATTGGGCTGCCATCTGACAGAAATGGTGTAGGGTGTCCTGCTTGAGCAGGAGGTTGGACTAGATGATCTACAAGATCCCTTCCACCCCTGTTATTCTGTTCTAAATATCAAGCATTTTCATGAGTTCCCAGAATTATAATATTTAGTAAAATAATAAAAGATGCCTTCGAGTTGAATTTAGCATAGTAATTGGATCTTCTATGCAAGAGGATATAATAGCATTATGGAAATGTTTTACCACTATCATTTTCAGAGGGGAAAGGGGGTCATATTTCCCAAACTGGTCTACAGTTCTGGGATTTCCAAGCTACCGTCTTCTATGTACTAACCAGGGTTGATCCTGCTTAGCTTCTGAGATCAGCAAGGGCAGCTGTAGGTTGCCACGTGCTAGATTAATTATTTAAAATGTTTTACAAAGCAACACGCTTAAGTCAGCTGCATAGGTTTGAGTCATTCCAAGGTAGAATAGGATGCAGGAAAAATCCAGTGAGCTGGCAACCAATGCAGGTACATAAGTCATAGCTGCAGTCAGGACAAATTGCAAGTGAACAAGAAACAACATTCTGTTCTATTTTCATATTAATTAATGATTGTTTGCTTTTTGAAAAAAAACCCTGTCCCCTCATATTTTCTGTTTCAGTACAGAATTATGGTGTCGATCCCTCACGGCTCCTTGGTTCACCGAGGAGCTGAGGGAGATGAAACGCCGGAAAAGACGCCTAGAGAGCGGTTGGAGGGCCAGTCTCGCTGAATTTGACCGAACACTGATAAGGTCGCATATTAAGACCTACTTAGTGGCGATAAAAGCGGCAAAGTTTAATTACTTTTCCGCTCTTATTGCGTCATCAGAGAATCGGCCGGCCACCCTGTTCAGGGTGACCCGCTCCCTGCTCCACCTGGGAGTGCGGGAGGACCCCTTGGAAGGCAGGGCCGAGGATTTCGGACATCTGTATGACAAAATCGCTCAGATCCGGGGGGATTTGGACTCTGACTGGGTAGATTTGGGCAGGGCGGCGAGGAATAGTCTTGAGAACGTTATCTGGGAAGAGTTTGACTCTGTGACCCCTGATGACGTGGACAGGATTCTGGGGAGACTTAGTGCAGCCACATGTTTACTGGATCCGTGTCCCTCCTGGTTAGTACTGGCTTCCCGGGAGGTTACATGAGGCTGGCTCAAGGGAATTATTAACACTTCGTTGAGTGAGGGTTACTTCCCCACGGCCTTGAAAGAGGCGGTGGTGAGGCCTCTCCTCAAGAAGCCTTCCCTAGACCCAGCAGTATTAGCCAACTATCATCCTGTCTCCAACTTTCGCTTTGAGGCGAAGGTTGTCGAGAGTGTGGTTGCACGACAGTTTCCGCAGTATCTGGAGGAAACGTCTTATCTAGATCCATTCCAGTCGGGTTTCAGGCCCGGGCACAGCACGGAAACGGCATTGATCGCGTTGGTAGATGATCTCTGGAGGGCTCAGGACAGGGGTTGCTCCTCTGTTCTGGCCCTGTTAGACCTCTCAGCGGCTTTTGATACCATCGACCATGGTATCATGCTACACTGGTTGGAAGAGTTGGGGATGGGGGACACCGTGTTACGGTGGTTCTCCTCCTTTCTCTCAGACCGGTCGCAGTTCGTGTTGGCAGGGGGGCAGAGGTCGACCTCGAAGCCTCTTATATGTGGAGTGCCTCAGGGGTCGGTCCTCTCGCCTCTTCTGTTCAACATTTATGTGAAGCCGTTGGGCGAGATCATCCGTGGCTTTGGGGTGAAGTACCATCAGTACGCTGATGACACCCAGCTGTACATCTCCACCCCAGGCCACCCCAACGATGCCCTTGAAGTGATGTCCCAGTGCCTGGAGGCTGTGCGGATTTGGATGGGGAGGAACAGGCTCAAGCTCAACCCTTCCAAGACTGAGTGGCTGTGGTTCCTGGCATCCCGATATAGTCAGTTGACTCCATCACTGACTATCGGGGGCGAGTCTTTGGCCCCGGCGGAGAGGGCGCACAATCTGGGAGTCCTCCTGGATACGCAGCTGTCCTTGGAGGAACATCTGACGGCTGTAGCCAGGGGGACCTTCTGTCAGGTTCGCCTGATTCACCAGTTGCAGCCCTTTCTTGATCGGGATTCCCTGTGCACAGTCACTCATGCCCTTGTCACCTCTCGCCTGGACTACTGCAATGCTCTCTACATGGGGCTCCCCTTGAAGAGCACCCGGAGGCTCCAACTGGTCCAGAATGCGGCCGTGCGGGTAGTCACGGGAGCCGCATGGCGCTCCCATACAACACCTCTCCTGTGTGAGCTGCACTGGCTCCCAGTGGTCTTCCGGGTGCGCTTCAAGGTGTTGGTTATCACCTTTAAAGCGCTCCATGGCATAGGACCTAGTTATCTTCAAGACCACCTGCTGCTACCGACGGCCTCCCATCGACCCGTGCGCTCTCACAGAGAGGGCCTCCTCGAGGTGCCATCAGCCAAACAATGTAGGCTGGTGACCCCCAGGGGGAGGGCCTTCTCTGTGGGGGCACCTACCCTCTGGAATCAGCTGCCCCCAGAGATAAGGAGAATCCAAGACCTCGGTGCCTTCCGCCGTGCCCTTAAAACCTTCTTTTTCCAGCAAGCCGGGCTGGCCTAACATTTTTTAAAATGTTTTTAATTTTTTGTTATTGTTTTTAATCATGGGGCCAAATTTATGTATATATTTTAATTGTATTTTAATGTTTGTAGTTTATGTTTTTACTTGGCTGTTCACCGCCCTGAGTCCTCAGGGAGAAGGGCGGTATACAAATTTAACAATAAATAAATAAAATAAATAAATGAGGATTAAGATAGGATTTTGTGTTACATCCTCATAAGGGGAATTTGACAAGAATGGCTGATTTGATCAAACTATTTCAAAATTAAGAAAAAATCTAATTGAGAAATCATATTACAAGTATAAATGGCTGTGTGATATATACATATCGGCACATATTGAAAGTGTCTTGAATGATTACATTTGAAACATAATTTGAATTCTAGTCACATTCTTTGACAGGAAATGGGAGAAACATGCAACTAGGAGAAAAAAATTATTCATACAGGTGTTTCCAGATGATAGCAAAACATTTTTAGTATTACTATACAACCAAAGATGCTCAATCCTAATTGCACACTTCTGAATTACTGCCAGGAGCATTCAAAAGAGTAACTATGAACATTTTTATTTATTTAGTAACCAAATCAGTGGTGGGTTGCTCTTGGTTCTGTCTGGTTCTTTAGAACCAGTAGTAAAACCGGCGGGAGGCTCCACCCACCTGCCCCAACGTCATCATGGATGATCTGCGCATGCGGTCCCATTGCAAACCGGTAGTAAAGATAAGTAGAATCCACCCCTGAACCAAATGATCCAAAGATGGGTAAAAAAATGGATTAAAACATTTTTGAAAAATAATTAAGTCATTACTGGTGGGGAGGGAGTGAAACAAGAATCTGGATTCAGTCTTTCTGTATCTGACGAGCAATTTTTTGGAAGACTCCTCAGGCATGTTCTTTTGGAGTTATAACGGTTCCTGATGCTTCAATAACCATACTTTCTATGTGAATGTACATACCTTATGTATGGACTTTGTTCACAAAACTCTACACAGGCATCAATATCAGTTCTCACACTATTCACACAAGATATGTGGATTTTAAGGATAGGACTCAAGATGGAAGGCAAGCAGAGAATAGGGATACATAGCCACTACACAAAAATAATGCCTCCACATTAGAAAAGCCAATAATGGGAGACATGCCAAGCCTGTGCTGCAACTATAACAAAAGTTATTAAAATTCATGTACAGTAAACCAGCTCTTTCAATTGCTGTACCGGGAACAACAATGAAAGGCAATGGTTTAGAATGAATATATTCTGGACATTCAGGAATGAATATAAAAGCATGCAGTGAAACATACACAAAAGGTTAGTACATTTGCAGAATGTTGGAACTTGCTTCCACAAAATATCCCAGTTCCAGAGATAGGTAGAATCATGATAGAACAAACATCTTACAGTTCAGTAAATGAACATATGATAGGAATACTTTTACATACTGTGAAAATATTTTTTTCATCTCACAGTGTGTGTAAATGGACTGAACCACTAGAATTGTTGACTCATTGATTCTTTGGTCCTCTCTATGTATGACTTAGAAAATATTAAAAGTATTTACTATTTGCCACTGTTACTGAAAATCAAAATAACTCCTAAATAATTAAATGTTTGGTCACATATATGTTTACACTGTTTTTCTAATGGAAAACCTGTGTTTGTTCATTTCATTTTCTTCCCTCTTAGTCCTGTTTGAAAAGTTAGCTTTAAAATAGTCCAGGCTTCATTTGGATTTTGGTTGCTTTTTCCTACTGTTCAAAACTTTCTCTTGAAATTCCCATAGGTGGAAATTCAATTTTAATAGTACTATAAAAATCATGCGATAAAAACAGACTGTTTGTTTATCAACCTTCCACTCATGAGTCTCAGTCCATCTCCCAGGCAAGGATATTACAGCATTTTTCTAAAAGCAGAAATCTAAAAGGATCAGAGCAAGACAAATTACACAGGGCAAATATGCCCAACCTGATAAGAGTTCCTTCACTGTGAATAAACATAATCCAGCAGGTAAGAAATTTAGATTCCCATTAACACCCTTTGATTAACGAACAGCTCTGGCTTCTGCATCTTTCTCCACTCTCCAGAAAAGGAATAATGCAATTTAATAAATACATACCCCTCCTCGCCCCGCCCCTGGAACAGTTGACCAGAAGAAACCTCTCCAATCGGGATCTTCAAATATATACGGTAGGATGCGGGTCAAGAGACGGCTGCAATTCAGGACAATCTGCTTTTCTTTCTCAGAGTGACAGCCACTCTCCGCACCCTGCACTAGTTTTTCCACAGCCTGGAGTGAATTAGAATAAAGCAAAGGACATGAACTATTGGTATGCGGGTAACAATTTTTGCCCAGTGCCTCAGATTTCTGAATTACCAACTAAACACCTAATACCACGTTGAATAGGCAATCGTTTTATATTGTTGCTAATGCCTTTTGGGCATACTCTAGAAATCTATCGTAAAAAGACAATCCCTCAGAATGCGACAGCTTGATTCATGTGAGATTGCATATATGCTGCATATAATGCTTGAATGTGTGTGAGAGAGAGGATTCTAAGATTTAAGCTATGACATCAAAACCTCATTTTCTAGCCTGTTCTAGGAAAATTACTGTGAAGATTCTTTAAAGAGTTGATTCTCTGTAACAGAGCTCCTCTTCCAACTTTGCAGATGAAAGACATTGGTCCAAATATAATTTAAATGTGGGAGAAAGAAGCAAAGTGGATCTTTTAGAAAATTAGAGACAATCTTGTCAGCATAGATATCTGTTTAGGGATATGTGACTGAAATGCTTTTAATGTCAGTGCTTTTCAGAAAACAGTGCAATATCTTTCCTCCACAATTACTTTAAACTAGTACTTTGTTCTCTAAGAAATACTGCTTCTGTAGAATTCATAATGTTTGTAGGAATATAATTCTGCAGGTAGGTACAAAAACTCTAAATTTCCACCCAGGCATATAAAGTTAGTCCAATCAATTGATTCCTCAGTTCAATTTATGGTAAACATGAAAGAAAATACACTTTCCTGTAACATGCGCTTTGTACACATTGTTTGGAAACTGTACTACCATGATTGGTAGCTGAATACTGAAATATTATTAAAGCTAGTTTACCTTTGAGAAATGCGAAAAATATGAAATAAAAATCTGAAGAAACTGAAGGCATATGCGAAGAAGAAAAAATATGGTTAAATCTAATTTACATTAACAATGATTAATTTTCAATTCCCATTTTTTTGCTTAGGAGATACATATTAGGCAATCTGAATTAAATTAACTAAATGCTTAGGCACCCAATCGGGATTTGAAACAGGGTGCAAGAAAACAGAGATTAGCATTTTTCAATGTACTATTTTTCCACTGAAAATATTCCCTTCTCCTCCTTCCAAATAAAAATAACAAGCTTCAGGATCAAAAAGATTGGGAATGAGTTTCTACTAGAAAATGGCAACAGGGGACAAGGATTTAACAACTACTGTCCTTCATTGTGGTCTCAGTTGAAATCAGGAGAGCTATATGGCTCCTGTGCATTTCTGTGTAGGAAAGGGAAAATCCTAAGCATAGAATTTAGACATAAAATTGAGATTTAATTTGGTTAAAAGTGTAACAGGAGTTTAATCTTGGTCGAATTTGTTTTTGCTAAATAAACCATACTGAATTAAGCAGACAATTCTATAAGGGTGGGCAATTAATTTTTCCAAGTGTGTGACCAAATGTGAAACAGAGACTATTGTGGAGGGTTGAATCAATAGGACTACCGCCATGGTCCCTGCTGTCGCCACCACCGTGGGCTGGACAGGGACAGACAAAGGGCCAGATGTGGCCCCTCCAGGCCTGCTATGGTTGAATTGCAACAGGGAAAAAAATATGCTCAATCTTACCTTGTAACACAAAGTAGCCAAATTTGAAGGAGATTCTTCCCTCACAGCTCTGATTTCTGCAGCTGGAACTAGAGCAAAGACATCCTGAACTGAAGTAGCCGTATCTGCCCAGAACTGGTCCCAGAAGGCATCGTCTGTGGCCTCTACGGGCTGAAAAACAAATAAAAATCAATTTGGGAACATAAAAGCTATAAAATATTCATTTTGATATTCATTTATGATCAATATTCATACTACTTAATATTTGATCTGGTAAGTATGTCAAGATACCTCAAGATAACTTCTACAAATCTCTACTAAAATTTAAGGCTGAAAAATATTACATACTATACTGTAGCATGAAAGCAATCCAATATTCCCGACAGAATAAACATGAATGCATCATTAATACAATAAGCTACAATTGACCAGGAAAAAAGTGGAAGAAAAATAATGCAAGGCTGTTAGTAAAAACTATAAACAAGACAAGGTTAAAATATCAGCTGTAACTTTTTTTAAAGAATAGATTTCCTGTCAAAATGACCCCTTTAGAAAATTAATGAAATACAACTTTATATGCATAGATAGAGCAACGCACAATTTTCTGCAAATTCACACTCAACTATAACTCAGGGACAACAAAATACTTACAATTATTTTTCAATTACACAAAAGGTTGTCATTCTTTATAATAAAACTATGTAGAACATATTATATTACATTGAACAGCTCTAGCACTCATCATTATGGTTTAATGGAATGCATCCAGTAAGTCAAAATATGAAACATATATTCTTTGGTTGATCTCTTTTCCCAGCATGATATAATAAACATGCAACAGCTCTTGACTAACTGCAGTTATTTGAAACAATCATGGCTCTGAACTGCATTTAGAGAAGATGAGTGAGAAGGAAACATATATCTGTTTAATTTCCTGGCTTACATTTTTCTGAAGTTACACTGTTATAAAGATGGACAGTTGTTTAAAAGTAAGGCAAAACTTGTTTAAAAATTGGCTATGATGAAGGAAATTACCTTATCAAATAGGCAATATGTCATTGAAATAGAAATGGCAAAACTAAAAGGAGGTAAACAAAGTATAAACTAGTTGAGCAGGTTTTCTGGCTCTACCAAGTCTGGACCTGGCCAAAAAGATAATTTTACATACTGAAAAGAAATGTATCCTCCTGATTTTAAGGAGTGGATTCAAGATACGAGCCTGTTATCAATTTTTGATAGGTATTTAATACTAAAAATGGGAAGATGAAGCAATATATGATCTAGATTTAATGACAAATTAAAGGACTCAATCCCATATTGATACCAAATAGCAATAGCAATTATATTTACATACCTCTTCATAGTGCTTTATAGCCCTCTCAAAGTGGATTACAGAGTCAGCATATTACCCCCAGCAATCTGGGTCCTCATTTTACCAACCTCGGAAGGATGGAAGGCTGAGTCACCCTTGAGCGGGTTAGGATTGAACTCTAGGCAGTGGGCAGACTTAGCCTGCAATAATGCATTCTAATCAGTTGTTTCACCTTTCAATTACTTTTAGCCTATTTAATTACTGTAATATATAAGGGTTTTTAAAAAAAAATTATATAAGCCCTACTATAATTTTTTTGGTTGGTGTTGTAGTTGCTTGTATTTCAAATTGAATGCCTCCTCTTCAAAAGTTTAAAAATAGAAAAGCAGGTTTTTCCTGCAATGGCTTTGTTTTCCTGCATATTTCCAGTCATTATGCCAATGACTGACTGCTTCTGCCACCATCTTCAAACTATAAAATACGTTCCTTTAAATTCCAGTAGACACTTAGTCACAGGTGATTGCTTTAATACAAGAAGTATTTGCACATTTAGCCAATGGATAACATAACAAATCTGCATTCAGTACTCATGAGAAAGGAGAGGAAGGGTGAGACATTTGAGATAAGTTGAGCACAAAAACACACCTATAAATGGATCAAGTATTTTTATAGGTCATCTGTGAAAGCTGTACAATATATGATGGTTCAGGAGAACAAAATGGAATGGAATGGAATTCAAGTTAGTGGAAGTGGCTCTCAATTTAGCCAAAATAACCACCGTACTGTAAGTATTATTACTATAATTGGGGAGAACTATATTCCTTAAATATATCCACTTCTTATATATACTAACTGTTTTCAAGTAACTGTTTTCAGTACAACCTTGAAGCAAATTACAAAATGATACCTTAGTGAGGACAATCTCAAACAATTTAGACATTATTTTACTGAGCAGAAAAGTTTTGTTTACTAAAGATAGCAATTTCTTCACTGCACAGTCTTTCCTTGGGCCTAAGTGTTTGTTTTCTATTACAATGAACTGTAAACAATAAAATCACAAATGTTAGGTTTATCCAACTTTATTTTCCAAATCCCGATGCAGAAGAAATGGCTGATCAGATTAGTTTTTTTGATCAAATTCAATTTGAAATCAACAAGATATGCTATTAGAAGGCCAAAATCTGAAAGAGTAAGAAAATGTAGTTGGATTATATGGCCTAGGAAACAGAAATGAAGCAGGAGAACAACTCATTAGTTTCTCGTTAGAACAATGATTTCTTCATTGCTAACACAATCTTCAGACAACCAAACTGACATTTACTTACATCAACTATATTATTGGCACGAGGTGATGGAATAGCTCAGTTATAACAGCAAAAATATGGCTGGAGCCTGACTATACAATGGATCATAAACTGATTTTGTGCAAGTTCCAAGTTAAGCTAAAGTAGAAAAACAAAGACAACAAATTTCCACCGAGAACATCAGAAATAGTTTTGAAGTCCTGGACTTCATTGATAATGAACTACAGCAGTGGTTGGTTGCCCTCGGTTCGCACCGGTTCTATAGAACTGGTAGTAAAACCAGGAGGCTCCGCCCACCGACCCCGATGTCATCAAAATGCTTCTGCGCACGCACACGGCCCCATTGCAAACTGGTAAGAAAGATAAGTAGAACCCACCCCTGAACTACAGGAACTATGGCATAAAATCAAAGTAGTTGTTAAAGGATGAATATGAAATGCCACATTCACTAGCACTAGTGGAAAGATAGTCAGATATTCCCATAACTGCAAATATCAAAAATATGCAAAAAAAATTCTTGTGATGTTCTATGGAAATGAAAGCTGGACTTTGATGAGGCAGGATGGAAAATATGCTTTTGAACTCTGGCTTGGGGAAGACCTCTGAGAATATCACTGATAGTCAAGGAAACAAACAAACAAAAAATGAATCTTAGAAAAACCAATCCAGAGTTCTCAGAGGGACAAAAATCAGGTTCGAATTACCATGACTGCGATAATTATATGAAAACCACGTCCATAATGTTGAGAAAGATAGATGGAAAAAAGATGACCAGCAACAAGCTGAATGGACTAAATTACAGTGCCAGTGAATGCACTGTTGGAAAGCCTGAAGGGTTAGCTTAGAGAGGACAAATCATCCAGAAGTGTATGTATCTGGTTGCTAGGATTTAATGCCAACCTAATGGAAGCTAATCTCTCACCAAAGCCAGCTGAGCCAGGACATACCGGTATCTCTAAATTACATGTAAAAAAATACACAGCTACAGCTTTTGGATCTAAAGTCACCATTCAATGAAACTATGGAAGATATAGGAAACATACTTTATATATCTGTGAACACTAAAAATGAAGAAATGCTTTGGGTTTCAGTTTAGATTCATATTAACTTTAGTGTCTCATTAAAACAGACATGTTTTTTTAGGCCTACAAGTGCTTCCGAAAAAAAGATCAATGTGTTTTCATAAATAGTAGAGAGGTGTATTCTAAGTGAGGTAAAATGGTTCTTCAGAAACATTTTCAAAACACTAATAATGTATAGCATAATCCTATACATGTCTACTCAGAGCCTAATGAAGTTATTTCTAGCTGAGTAGATAGCAGTGACTTTTTGTGAAGAAAAGGCTTAAGTAAACAGTGTTACATGAAATTAAATACAGTAATCAAAGATGGTTTTGGAAAATACCAAGGATTCTATTTTTCAGATTTTCTTAGGTAACCTTCATCTTGTTTACTCTGAGGATGTGGACAGAAATCCTGGAAAACCAATAATCAACCCTCTGTCTACCTGATCCTTCTCTGACCTCAAGGATAAAATCCCTGTAGTTGAGTCTCCACATGAGGTAAGATAACTGCTCCATGAAACTGAAGCAGACAATTGAGATCATTAAAATCATTTGGATCCTCTGAGTTTAATAATTGCAGTCTTGTTAAATGTGATATATGAGCAGGTATAATAGTGCAGCTCTAGACTTTAAGAGGTCTCACAGCATTAGACATCTTCTGGATGACAAATGGGACATGGACTGAGAACCACAACCCTTTCATTCTCTGGCCCCTTCAACAAATATAGTGTCAGCTACAGTATCTAGAGCTCTCAACATGGAGATGGTAAATATTTTTCATTTCTATCTGACAAAATTCATGCTGGACTCCTAACATAATTCAGGCAAAACAAAAGTGCTTCCACTAAGGGGGTCATCTAATGTGAGTTTGGATTTGCTGCATTGTCAGGTTTTGATATATTATAATAATTCCCTAAAAGAGCAGGTCTAGAGTGAGAAGTATTCTGTTAAACGCAGGTAATATCAGTAGCAAGAACATTTATTCCCTAGATTTTAGCTAGTTTCTCCCCATAGCTTTTCCTGATGAAGTCAGATTCTTGCCCTAGTTATTAATGATCTAATCACTTCTTGATTGCACTACTATAATAGACTTTGCAAGCACTTACCTTGCAACAACTGCAATCAATGCATAATGCTGGAACCGAAGTACTGGTAGTAATTCACGTCAGATCTCCAGAATATGTGATAATGATCTTGCTTGACCTGCACAGCCTGCCAGTTGGCTTGTGAACTCAATTTAACATTCTGGTTTAACCTCTAATGATCTTAAAGGTTTGGGCTAGGAGTAATTTATTTGTCTACTATTGCTTTTATATCTTGCTGCAATCATATGCAGAGTTGCAGACTCTTGGTGGCTCACAATATAGGGGAAAAAACAAAAATTAAAACACAAAAATATGCATCACAGATAGCATCCCAAAGCTGGAGACAACTAGATCGAAAACAAATGAACTACTCATTTGGAACAGAGGACAGGGAAAAAAGTACCTTC